CCTTGGAAGGCTAGGGCCAAAATGTTGGCTTTCCTTGCAGCCCTCCTTTTTCTCCAATTTTGGTCTGCAAACCTAGATTGTCAACCATCCAGAAGACAAGTTTATTGTTATTAACAAACAATTTAGGCTGTTAAGCTTAACCTCACTATCTGTCTGCATATCAAACATCTTCGGCATAATATGGAACAGGTATTTTTTTTTTTTTTTATGGAACCGGAGATTGAACTCAGGCCCCTGCGCTTGCCAGGGAAGCACTTATTCCACTGAGCCATCTCCCCGGCCCCCTGGAACAGGTATTTTTCATCAAGTATTGATATGTTGAACTTTAAATCCCTACAGAATACGATAAAAAAATTAAAAATTAGAATATATTTTAAAAATAGGCATAAAGAATTATATACTTCTTTTTTTGGATACAAAAAACACAATAGTAGTTTAATGGGAATATATTGATTTTCATTAAATTAATAAAAGACAAATATTGACTATATTTCTCATACCTGGCATACCACATTTAAATAAAATTTAAAAAGAAAATTTCATCTCTAAGCATATATACTTCTTATGTTTACACATAAGTCCAATAATCTCCCATATACAACCTTGAAGCAGGACAGTTCCACAATATTCCTTTTCCTGTCTCTTGCTTTCATTCACCACCCCCTTCTTCTTGAACATCCACCTAGCTGAGAGACATCATAGCAGCAACTGACATGTCATGACAAGCAGCCCATATTCAGAAGACCAGAATGATAGGCACTCCAAGCCTGAAACTACTATTACAGATTACCATCTGCAGTGCAGTAGCTTAGTTCACAGGTATCAGTATATGTAGTTAGTCAGGGTGAGAATCTTTCCAATTAACTGCTAGATTAAAAAAATCTTCTGCATGGGGCTGGAGAGATGGCTCAGTGGTCTAAAGCACCTACTTAGAACAAGCTAAGCTAAGCAGAGCACAAAGACAGCGGTTCAATCCCCCAGCACCACATGCCAGCCAGCTGCGCCCCCTGGTGGGCTGAGCTGGCCACACACACACAAAATAAATAAATAAATAAATAAATAAATAAATAAATAAATAAAGCCTCTTGTGCTCATGGGAGGCAGCTTTAAAAAAAAATCTTCTGAAGATTCTCAGGAACATTGCCTTGCCCATCTTCTACATATAACTGTATGGCTTGACTTATTCATGTTTCCTATCTCTTCTCCTTTCCGTCTCTTCGTTAGTTAGTCCTTGAGATCCTGCTTTCATTTTACTTCTATTATACCTTTCTATTTGTATTTCTTCTTTGGAGTTCTTATACTAGGGAGACTATACGATATTTACACATGTGTGTCTGGTTTATTTCACTTATGAGTATATGTTCAAGTGGCATCCACTTCAATATAAAGGCTTTGACTTTATCATTCTTAATAGCTGAATAATTGAACAATTTTTATAAAAATCAGATTTTTTTATATTTTTCTGTAATTTGATGAAAATAGTATCAACTGGGGCTGGAGAGATGGCTCAGTGGTCTAAAGCACCTACTTAGAACAAGCTTAGCAAAGCACAGGGACCGCGGTTCAATCCCCAGCACCACATGCCGGCCAGACCCGCCCCCTGGTGGGCTGAGCTGGCCACACACACACACACACACATACACACACACACACACACAATAACTAAATAAACTTTTAAAAAATAAATAAATAAATTTCTAAAAAAAATCTAATGCATAAAATCAGTATGTATAGTAATAACCTATTGATACTCATATTGTAACAAAAATATTATGATCAACAAAAAACCTTATTGAATATTTAAGAAAAAAAAACAGCCAGAGAGGTAAGATGGCAGAAAATAGATGAGGGAAATAGAAGATAGACATAGAAACAGGGCCTGGGTAGATGTAGACACAGACAAAGCCAGGATACTCTGGGAAGAAAGAAAGTTAAACTGGGCCAAAGAAGTATAAGAGCAAAGAAGATATGAAAAAGTGTCCCACTGGTCAACCCCAGAGATGGAGAGGGTGCATAGAGAAGGCACCAGGATAATGGAGAAATCTGGCTTATAGAGCCTGATCCAAGATAAGAACCATCTTGGGTCCTTTCCTGCGTACCTCTGAGCTCATGTCTCCTAATTTCTGGATGTATCTAAGGGAAGTGGGCACTGCCCCCAGACCCTTCCCTGTTGGTACAAGATCCCCACAGCTGGGAAGACCCTGGGATGCCCAGATATCTACCCATCCATAGCATGGCTACTTCAAGGTCATCAGTTTGCAGATGAAGCAGCTCTGAAGTACAAGGAGAGGCTCTCTGAATTTCAGGCTACTTTTGTTCTAGCTGCACCCCAAGCCCAAGATTTATAAATTAGTAGTATGATTCCTTACCCCTCTGAGAAATCTGTGGGGCCATAGATCACACTGCATGGGGACTGGCCTCAGTTATAATTTTATGTGCAATATGAGTGTATGTGTACATATATGCTGGAAGCTTTTGGCAGAGGCCAGAAAACAACCAAAGTGGGAAGAAAGGGGAGAGAAAGAAAGAAAAAAAAGAGGAGAGGAGAGACAGAGAGAGACAGACAGACAGACAAACAGACAGACAGAGGCACAAAGTTCCAGGAAGACCTTACCACTCAGAAAAAACACAAAATAGTTATTATAGTATATATATTTTAATATGAACCGGGTTTGAGTTTGAGTTCCTATGAATAGTAACTTACCCCTCATATTAACCCTATGAAATGGAAAATACTCTCCTTACATGAGAAATGGAGAACACCAAAAATGTCAACTCATCCATGTGCACACAGTTTTGTACTCACACATTCGCAGAAATGGGTCTTCATCTCCTACAGGGCCACCGAACCTTTCAGAAATCAAACAAAACTCCAAACACACTACTGTATCTCTTAACTCCTACTGACACTGAACATCCACCAAAGGGTCTGTGCCCAGTATCAGAAGGACCTGGAACCTCCTCCAAGTGCACCCCAGGTTACAGATTAGAGCTCATACCTGTGCAATGGCCTCAGGAGTCTGAGCTCAGGGAGCTGACAGCGCAGAGCATCCTCCTGGCCCTCACTGTGATCCTCTGTGCCCGCAGGGAAGCGCATTTGTCTTGGAGAAAGCATTGCCCGCACCGAGTTGTTCCTCTTCTTCACCACCATCCTCCAGAACTTCTCCATCACCAGCCCAGTGGCTCCTGAGGACATTGACTTCACACCCAAGGAGGTTGGTATTGGCAGAGTTCCCCCAGTATACCAGATTCACTTCCTGCCCCGCACAATGGACTCAGGGCAGAAGAATAAAGGACTGCAGGGTCATTAAGTGCCGGATCTCTGCAAAGAACGGCCCCTCACTTCCTCCATCTGAGAAACCTATTGTTTCCCCTCCCTGGTGGCTACTCCATGCAGTTATCCTAGTGGGCTTCTTCCACAAGCTGCAGTTCTTCCAAGGCTCTGTGCTGTATTCCTTTCTTGTGCAAATAGAGGTGCAAAGGTTAGAACTGGATCAACAATTACCAAGCCTTTTATGGTGAATAGAAAAAAGTTAGGGGTCAAAAGGGACAAATTGGCTCTGGGCCATCTGAAGTTCTGCCTCCCTGTATGCAGCTCAGGCTGAGTGACTTTTTCCTTGCCAGAACAATCACAGTCTGATTTGTCACCCCCTTGTGCTCTGCACTCTGTGCTAAAGAGTTCTAAGTGGCAATTCCCCTCTCTGTGGCCCAGGGGGTGGGTGCAGGGATCGGGCCCATTTTATAGATGAAGAACAGAGGTCAGGTGATAGCACCATCTGCCTGAAGTCACAATCCCAGGGAGTGGAGGGGCACACGTGTTCTCCTCTCTAAAGCTCAAACTCTTCACTATAGCAGAATTGAATGAAGATCGAATCCACACTGGGCTGGTGAGATGGCTCAGTGGTCTAAAGCACCTACTTAGAACAAGCTTAGCAAAGCACAGGGACTGCGGTTCAATCCCCCAGCACCACATGCCAGCCAGCCCCGCCCCCTGGTGGGCTGAGCTGGCCACACACACACAAATAAATAAATAAAAATTTAAAAAAAAAAGATCGAATCCACATAACATCAAATAGGTCATTCTAAAGTGTACAGTTGAGCTCATTAACAAGATTGTACCCATATCACTGGCTAGTTTCAGACATGTTTGTCACTTTCCCCAAAGACCCTGTAATTAGTAAGAAACCAACACCTGGACATACCAATCTGATTTCTGTCTCAATGGACTTGCCTTCTGGCCTCCTGGATATTTCATATAAATGGAATAGTACAAACTGTGGTGTTTTGCTTCTCTTTAGAAAAAAAAAAAAAAACTTTACTCAGTGTGTGTGTGTGTGTATGTGTGTGTGTGTGTGTGTGTATGTGTATTTTAGTAAGGGTCTACAGGGTCTACAGGATGTCACTGCATAGGTCGGACTTGGAGTGATCCGCCTGTGTTCAGCCTCCCAAAAGCTGGGATTACAGGTGCGTGCCACCATGCCCAGTCTCAATCACAGTCTCAGAGTGACCAGGGGTGGGGCCAGCATGGCACACAGGCTGCTGAATACTCAGTATTTTTTTCCATAATTTTATTGACAAAAAAATAGCTATGAGGCCGGGGAGATGGCTCAGTGAAATAAGTGCTTCCCTGGCAAGCACAAGGGCCTGAGTTCAATCCCAAATTACACCAAAAAAAAAAAAAAAAAAAGTAAAGAAAAAAATAGCGATGAGACAATTTCAAACCAGATTGGTAGGACAGTTTCAATAATTAACACATTGCATACATTCTTCCTAGTGGTTATTTGCTATACAAGATGCAGACATGATATCCTATTTACAAACACTATTAGAACAAATCCCTCTATTCATTAAGAGAATGTAGCTATATATCTAGCCTAACCACTTTGAATACACAAATACAAAAAGGACATTCATCTGTATCCCCTTTTTTTGTTTAGTTCTGTTATTTGAATATTATAGGTGTGTTACCTCAGCAAAATATTCTAAAAGAGTCCAGTAGCCCATAATAGTATTGGGTTTTCTGCTTCACTGGCAATGTCAGAAATTGTTGACCTGAGACCCCTACAGCTCAACATAACAGCATGGCTTTACTTCTTATACTTCATTTTTATACTTTTCTGCTGGAGGGAAGATAAAGCAAGACCTATGCAACAAGAGTTGTAGCTTTTGGGTCTGATAAGGTCAGTGAAAGCCCCTCAGGATTTATCCTGAGATCCTGTACCTCAGATTGTAGATCCTTTGTCAGTGTCAGCCATGTGGAAGAGTCTTAAAGTTTAACATATCAATACTTGATGAAAAATACTTCTTCCATGTTATGCCTAAAATGTTTGATATTCAGACAGATAGTGAGATTATGCTTAACAGCCTAAGTTGTATAGTAATAATAATAAACTCCTTTTCTGGAGGGTTAATGACCTAAGTTTGCAGACCAAAATTAGAGAAAAAGGAGAGCCACAAGGAAAGCCAACATTTTGGCCCTAGCTTTTCAAGGTCAATTAAGACTCAAGACATATGGGAACTTGTACTGTAACATCATGTAACTCAGTAGTGTCCCACATTTTCTGATCAAGGAGATTATGGGGCCAAAGAGGAAAGTGATCGATGATGTAGAGTATGCCTAAGGAGAGTCACATGGAAAGAAAACATTCTCTCGGGCTTTCACAGAGAGTACACTGGCCAAGCAATGGCCGTACTCAACATTTTTGAGCTTCTATGATGTTGAGGACAGCAAGTGTGTGCTGCCTCTGGCCTCCCTCATTGTTCCTCTAGGCTGCACTGCACAGCATTTTCACTCCATTGAAGGCACCCCTGGCCCTCACCCCTTGAGCTGTGTGATTCTGTACAGACATCTCGGATTCCCTCATATTTTGATTTAAATCTCTTGAGAATCAAACAAACCTGCACAGCCTGATCATCCCATCAGGAGATGGTTCTTGCCGTTTTGTATGTGATCTATGTCTTGTCAGGTCCCTTGGACCTTTTCAGAGACACTTTTCTTGTCAGGTGACATTCTCATGCCCGACCTCCTCAGAGAGGTCCTTTGAGGGCAAATAAACACCCTGCAAAAGAGGCCTTTGATCCGCAAGGGAATTTCTCCAGGAAGGAGGCCCTGAGGCCAGAACCTGCCTCTGCCCTCTCTTCAGCCTTGCCTGGAACCTGCTGGTCTCCTCTGTGCTGTCCCCCAAAAGCACTTCAGCACTCTCTCCCTCCTCTCCCTCCTAGAGGACCCTGCAGTTCGTA